CATAGCCTCCGTCTCGTAATGGGGCTCCCTTTTCTCTGGTGCAGATTCTTTGCTTCAGTCTCTGCTAGGTACATATACCCAAGAGTATGGTGGTCAATCTCCTCAAATTCTTTGTGGAATGGGGTAAAATGTAAATAAGCATGCAGCCAAACAAACATACTGGCCTCCGGTCTCCCAAATTTACCCACTTCACAGAACCACAGTGCAGAGAGAGAATCTGATCCTCCCACCCTCCGCCTTAACACCCACCGGTGGCTTCCAACAGAGCCCCTCCTTGGGTCCCCGTCAAAGTTATGTTCCATAGGCCATTCACTGGTAAAACAAGGACTGCATGAAAAAGGAGCAAGCTGAGAACGTTTGTTCTCAGAATGATAGGATAGAGTCCTAACTCCAAGCAACCCCCCCCCCCACCGTGTCTTACTCCAGCTCCCCCTTTCGGCCCCTGCCTTCAGCCATCTCTTTACTTGCAATTCCTGAAATGCAGCAGACTAGTGCTTCTGCCTTTGTAGCTGCTGCCTGGCCCACCCCACCCCGCCCCTGATGCCATTTCTCCTTTCTTACACATCAGGCTAAATGTGACACCCTCTTGGAAGCTGCCTTCCCCAGACAATGCCTTTTCTAAGACGACTCGCTTTTGCACCTGCGCTCCTCCTCTCTCCTGCCCTTAACAAGTGACGGAGCACAGACAGCGGGTCAGCCCTGTGCCGAGCGGGGACAGAGGTAGAGGACGGTGTGAAACTACCCAAGCTCAGCGTGAGCAGGTTTCCTGTTGGCACTTTACAGCCTTGACGGTTAGTTGCAGATCTGGTTCTTCTACCAGACGGTGACCTCACAGAGCACCAGGCCTGTATCTGTTCATAGTTATCCCCTAGTGCCTAGTGGACAGCCTGCCACATAGGAGGAAGTAGGCTGGAAAAACGTACTCCATGGAAGTGGCGATCAATGCCAGTGGCCCCAAGGCAGACACCACCAGGCTGAGTTCTAAGTCTAAAGCCACCTCTGGTGCTGCTCCCCAGCCGAGTCCTAAATCAGCCCAGCGTCAAAGGATGGAGTGGTTTATTACTGCATCATGACCTGAAGAAAGCTGTGGGTTATTTGTGGCACTGAAGTTTTGTGCAGAAAATAGAAGTTGAGGGTGTCCAGTAACCACTGGCAAACTGAAACAATGTGAATTGTGTCTGTGTATGATTTAAAAAAAAAATGTGTTTTATTTTTTTACTTAGTGAGAGAGAGAGTGTGCAAGCGTGGGTGGGGGGGGTGGGAGGTGGGGGAGGGGCAGAGGGAAAAGGGGAGCGAGAATGCCAGGTAGAATTCACCTTGAGCACAGAGCCCTATGTGGGCCTCAAGCCCACGATCCCAAGATCATGACCTGAGCCAAAACCAAGAGTCAGATGCTCAACCAACTGAGCCACCCAGAAGCCCCTCTGTGCATGAGTTTTAGGCAATATGGTCAGGTTTTTGAAGCCATTCACATTGCTCAAGGGACTGGAATCCTGCCCTCTTGGCTGGACCAGCCTTGCCCGTCGTACCTAGAGAGAAACCCACCCCAACCCCTACATCAAACCACTTGTAAGCTACTAACATCTTGTTTAGAAATAAGAAAGGGGACATCATTATAGGTATAAAGGGGATTTTTAAGAACTCAGGATGAACTGGAAAATTTTCCAGAAAATCTGACTCAAGACCCATAACAGACCAATACCAGGGAGAAAATCTACTCTTCAAAAAAAGTACCAGTTTCAGATAGTTTTTCAAGAAACTTCTATAAACCCGAACTACATGTGTTCTTTAGCTGTTCTAGAGGAGAGCAAAGAAATTATAGGAATAGGAATTTAACGTTGACTCAGTATTTAATATGTACCAGGCACTGTGCTAAGCAATTTGTGTTTGTGTGTGTGTGTGTGTATATACCATGTTCAAAAAAGCTTACAAATTCATGGAAAGATATTAGTATAAAATGGGTCAAAAACCTTGAAAGAAATCATATGTATTCATAAAAATCAATCACATTTATAAATATAGACAATAGCCTAGATAAAACCGGGTTGAATGGACTCTAGTTATGAATTAAAGTAATAGTATATCAGGACCAAATAGGGTTTTTCCTCCTGGGAATTCAAAAAATGGCTCAACATAAAGAAACACTGCTATATAATTCATCACACTGAAAGGTAAAAGGACACCTTCACAGAATCCCAAAGAACACCCATTCCTGAGTTAAAAATAAAACAAAATAGCAGCCACAAAAAAACTCTTATGCTAGAAGTGGGAGGCAACTTTCTGAATGTGATTTTGTAGTTACCTAAGGAAGCCAATAATAAACAGCAGAGTAAATAAGAAAAACTCTCATGAAAGCTAGGAATAAGATAAAATTGTCTTCTTTTCTTTTCTTTTTTTTAAAGTTGCCTTTTCTAACCACTTCCTCTCACTCTTCAATATTGTTCTGACGGTCCTAGCTAACAAAACAAAGCTACAAGGAGGTAATATGTGTAAATCCTGGAGAGAAAAAAAGTTTTTATTATTTGCAGATGACATGATTTGTTTACCTAGAAAATCCAAAAGAATCAATTGGAAAAACTTACAAGAATAAAAGAGCTCAATCAGATGGCTGATACAATAAATTAGGAGGATTAGAGGATGTTAATGATAACCAGCTAGAAACGGTAATGGAAAAGGTTTTACTCACAGGGTCATTAAATATTATAAATTTAACTATAATTAAAAAGTTCAAGAGGTATGTCCATAAAACTATAAAACTCAAAAGATATAATCAGAGATGAGGTCAACTCTCCCCACATTTTATATATTTTCAATCAAAATCCCAATGAATATGTAAGTTCTGAAATTGCATCAACTCTAAGAACATAAAAGCAAAAGCACTTCTGAAGAAGAATGGGAATTTGCCCTTGGGAATTCGTATGGCAGTAAGGATTAGCGTAGGAATAGTCAGATCATCAGCACAGAACAGATATTTACAAACATACCCGTGATTACTTGGGCATTTAGTACAGGATGAAAAGGGCATTTGAGATGAAGGCTAGAGTGGATTATCCAATAAAAGTTGTTGAGAGAACCAGCTTTCAATTTGGAGAGAAAAGCAAAGTGAGGAATCCTACTTTATACCACAAAGAAAAATAAATTCGATATGAATTAAAGATTCAATTATAAACATAAAACCATGAGATTGTTAAAACAGAATATAAGAAAAATATTTTTAACACTGGCCTGGGGAAAAAAAATCTTTCCTAGCATGATCGAAGCAGGATAGCATACAGGAAGAGACTGATGAACTGGATTCTATAAAACGAAACACTTAAAAACAATCCCTCATAGGAAATGCAATGACAAAGGTCAACAGGAGAAAATGTTTGGACTGTTTGCTCTTGAAATTAGAGACTGATTTCTTGAAGAAAAAAAACCAAACAGGCGAAGGACCTAAATAGGCAATTCACAAATGAAGAAAAAAAAAACAATGGCCAATAAACATCTAAAAAGCCACTAAATCCAGGGGCACCTGGGGGGCTCAGTCGTTAAGCGTCTGCCTTCGGCTCAGGTCATGATCCCAGGGTCCTGGGATCGAGCCCCGTATCGGACTCCCTGCTCCTTGGGAGCCTGCTTCTCCCTCTCCCTCTCCCCCTGCTTGTGTTCCCTCTCTCGCTGTGTCTCTCTCTGTCAAATAAATAAAATCTTTAAAAAAAGAAAAAAAAAGCCACTAAATCTGAATCTTAACAGCAAACAGGAAAATCCAGGGCGCCTGGGTGGCTCAGTCGTTAAGTGTCCGCCTTCAGCTCAGGTCATGATCCTAGGGTCCTGGGATCGAGTCCCACATCAGGCTCCCTGCTCGGCGGGAAGCCTGCTTCTCCCTCTCCCACTCCCCCTGCTTGTGTTCCTGCTCTCGCTATCTCTCTCTCTGTCAAATAAATAAATAAAATCTTAAAAAAATAAACAAACAAGAAAATCCAAATTCTAATGTCTGTCTGTTGAGGAATCTGCCAGAAAGGCATTCTGGTAGAGCAGGTCGTAAAAGTCCCAGCCGGAAGCAAGCCACAGGAAGCAAGCCACACTGAGTTTTAGCAGTAGTACAGTTCTGAGTGTGTCCCCAAGGGGCAAAGAATACGTTAGCTACGCAGATCCCCAAACAGCACTGCTAAGAATCTTACAAGAGCAATCTATTGAGAGCAGGAAGAGTTCATGTACGTATGCTCCCTTTTTGGCTAAAAAGGGGGAAAATTAGAATTCATAAGACTATATACCCCTACCTGTGCATATATTCACAAAGAAACTCTGGAGACATTCAAAACTGGTAACAACGGTGAACTGTGGATGGATGGGGGGAGGGAGAAGTGGTAGGAATTAAGCAGATGGGGACAGAGTGAAATGGAGACTTTGCCCCCTCTCTTTATAAATTGTGTAATTTTTTGAACCATACAATTGTACTATCAAAAATATTGAATTAAAATCCTGTGCTGTTTAATAAAAATAATTTTAACTGGATTCAATTGTTTTTTTTTTCATATAGGCATTCCAAGATACTACGGTGTTATGGTTTTGACTTTTCAGACAGAAACTACCTGCATCTCATTGAGAATCTAACCATATACCCACATTCCATGGCCAGAACATGGAAAATTCCACTGTAAGACTTTCTAAAGGGCAGTTTGGTAACATGTATCAAAGTGTAAAATTTTCATACCCCTGAATTGCAATGCCATTTCCAAAATTTACCCTGAAGAAATGATTGGATAAGTGCATAAAGATGATTCTGCAGCATTATTTATTACAGGGGGAAACTGTTTAGGATTACTATCCATTTGCAGGAGATAACATAAACCGTGGTCCCGGCCCCAGATGCTGCCGGTCTGCGGACCACACGCTGAATTGCAAGACCCTTGAAGCTCCTTATCCCACGTTCCCAGCTGCGTGACTCTTTGGATCTCTGTTCCCTGCACCTTCTACCCGGCTCTCGGATGTGCCACCCCACCCCGGGCCGGCGGGCTCACCTCGTCAGCATAGGGGTGTGGTGGTTGGGGTTGGAGCAGAAGATGTTGTTGGACTTGCGCGTGCCGTCTAGGAATTCCCGCACCGACTGGCTGCGGAGCTCCGCCAGGGGCCGGGCCTCGTGCTTGAGGAACCACTGGTGCGCCTCGAAGCACTTGGCACAGAGGAGCCGCTCGCACTCGAAACACCAGAAGTCCGCAGGTTCTTTGCAGCGGGCGCAAACAGCCTGCGCGTCCACGATCTGCCTGTACACTGACAGGCGCCGCTGTAGACTCTCGAAGAAGATGTTATCCACGGCCAGCGAGTCAGCGCCTAGGGGCCCGGGCGCCTGGCAGATCGGGCACCGCATGCCCGGCACCTCCAGGCATCCTGAGCACAGCGTGTGCAGACAAGGCAGCAGCTTGGGGCACTTGGCTTCTACCTGGCAGCCCTGGCAGCGCAGGAACTGGAACTCCTCCTCCATGGCTTGCTGGGGGACCAGAGAGGTGGGGGTGAGGCCTGAAATCCAGGAGCCCCCACCCACTAGACCCGCTCCTGTGGCTGGAGGCTGGAGGCTGGAGTGGGACTCCAGTATTCCATTCCGCGCAGTCCTTGGATGATACAAAACCCAGGCTTACCAGGACCACACTCCCCCACTTACTCAGGCCTTCCTGCTCTCACTCCACAATGTAGCATCAACTTCCCATAAGACAGAGTATTAGGCCCTAAGATCCATGGATGGATAGGATAAATCCCCGCCTTCATGGGACTCAGTTTAGAAAGGAGATCCATTAAGTGTATCTCATATAATATCATATAAAGTGCTTAATGTGGTTTGGTGGCTCCTCAAAAAGTTAAACACAGGACTACCATATAACCCAGCAATTTCATTCCTAGATATATATTTCCCAAAATAATGGAAAACAAGTACCCAAACAGATACTTGTGCACCCATGTTCATAGCACTGTTATGCACAATAGCCAAAAGTAGAAATAACCCAAGTGTCCATCAGTAGATGAATGGATAAACAAAAGTGGTCTACACGTGCAATGGAATATCATTCAGCTTTAAAAAGGAAGGAAGGGGGGCCTGATTGGCTCAGCTGGTGGAGCATGTGATTCTTGATCTCGGGCTTGTGAGTTCAACCCCCACGTTGGGTATAGGTTACTTAAAAATAAAGTCTTTACCAATAAATAAATAAATGAATAAATGAATGAATGAATGAATAAATAAAATGAAAAGGAAGGGCATTCTCATACATGCTATGAGAACCTTGAAGACATTTATGCTAAGCAAAATAAGCCAAACACAAAAGGATAAATATTGCATGGTCCGCTTATATGAAATCTCGACTAGGCAAATCCACAGAAAGTAGTTTGGTGGTTACCAGGAGCTGGGACAAGGCGGTAATAAGGAGCTACCGCCTAGGAGTACAGTTTCTGTTGGGGGTGATAAAAAAAATTCCGGAAATAGATGGTGGTGACGGTTACCCAACCTTGTGAATACAGTTAATGCCACTGACATGTACACTTAAAAATGGTTAAGTTTTTGGGGGCCTGGCAGGCTCAGTGAGTGGAGCATGCAACTCTTGATCTCAGGAAGTTCGAGCCCCACATTGGGAGTAGAGATTACTTACAAAAAATAAAATCTTTAAAAACATGGTAAGGGTAAGTTTTATGTTATGGATATTTTATAGCAAAAAAAAAAGTGCTTAATACAGTACCTGGAAGGAGTGTTCATAATTAGTTCTAATTATGAACTTAATAAATCCTAGTTCTAATAATGCAAATAATAAAAGTTACTGCAAGATGGTGCTTTCGTGAAGGGAAGCCAAAGGGCCTGGGAAAACATAGAGCAAATGATGTAAGTAATTCCTTTGCGGGAGGAGGGCAGCTGGGGAGTTTTCCGGGAGCTGACTGAGGCAAGCTTCCAGGAGGAGGACCTAGTAAGCTCTTGTGGTCAAAGCGGGGAGGGGTGGGGGGCTGGGCACGCAGGGTGTTCCAAGAGAAGGATCCTGGAGGTATCCTAGTGGAGAAACCACCACAGGAGCTCTGAGGCCTTAGCCAAGGCACTTCTCTCATCTGGGCCAGTTTCCCACCTTCTGATCTGGGAACTTGGGTTTTGGTTTTCCACACCTGGGACATCCCCCTGGCTCCAGGCCTGCGCAATAGGGCTACTCCCGCCATTCTCCTCAATCTGTGCACCTTCATCCGAGGCAAGGGTTTAGGGGGCGAGTCGCCAGGACGGACAGAAGAGTCCAGTCCCAAGTGTCACGGCCCCTCAGCGTCCTGCCCCTTGTCCGTGGAGAATCCCAGCCGGGAGAGGCGCCCCTAACCCATCCCGTTGCCCTTTTCTACTCTCACGTACCCCTCTCTACCCCAGCCAAGAGGGTCAGGACCCAATGTCTGGTTTTCTCTCTGTGTCACTCTTTAAGGTACTTGGTCAAGTTACCCTCTCCCTTCCCACCTCTCCCCGCACCGTAGCAAATCAACAAAGCCTAAATCCCATCTCCCCAAACCCAGTAGTACCTCCGCAGGGCTGTGGCTGGGGCTGGGCTGATGGCCTTCGGAGACGGACTCCGGGGGAGGCATGGTGGGCGTGTGGGGCAGTGCGGGGTCTTGCTGGGGACCCGGAGATCGGGCGGGCTCAGGCTCCTGCTGCATGGATCACAGCACAGTTTCGATTCTTGGTTTTGAGCTTGAGAGGCGGGAGGGGAAGCGGAACGAGAGATGGGCGCCAGACGCCAGAGTCGGCCCAGCCCGTGCGAAAGGGGCGGTGCCCGCTCAGGGCCCGCCTCCCGAGAGGAAGTGAGACAGAGCGGAGGGGCGGTTCTAGGGGCGGAGAGGACGGCGGTGGGCTTTGAAGACACGCCCAGAGCCGGAGGGAGGATTGGGAGGAGACAGGACGCTCAGCTGACCTGGGGGTAAAGGGACTTGGCGGAGCAGAGCGGGAGGGAGGCAGCGGCCGCCCTCGGCTTTGAACCCGGCCACAGAGATGAGCCACAGGTGGCCCTGCTTTGGAAGAACTCCAGGTCTAATGGAAGAGCAGTTACCCAGAGGTTTTCACACAGTAGAGGGATTGGCTGGAAAGGAGATCCTCAGCCTGGACTTGAAGGAACTTGGGGTGGGGCGGGGCGGGGCGCGTTTGGACCAGCGTGTGCAAAGACCTGGAGGTTTGAAACAGGAGAGTCTGTTTAGGAACTAGTTTTCGTTATTTTCAGATCTAAGAGGGGACCCATGAGCGGGATCAGGGCTAAGGAGATGGAACAGTTCTGTGGGTGACAGAGAATGAGTTTAGAACCCAGAAACATGACCCAACATGCATGCTGGGACGGTCACTGACAACCTAGGACAGGTAGCCTGGTCCAGGACAATGGCTGTGGGATGCAGAGGAGGGATCTGAGTCAGAGACACTGGGAGGACACTGAATGGAGATGAGGAGCAAGACGATGCCTTGGGTGACAGTTGGAGAGGCTGGTGAGTCGAAGGCAGAGGGGTTAGGGAGGGAAGGGGGAGAGCTGGTGAGCAGGTATGAAGACAGTGAGGAGAGAGCAAGTTAGCTCTTGGCCAAAGGAGAAGCATGTCAACTCCCAGCTGGTGAGGGGAGAAAGCACAACTCCAGGCAGCTTCACCGGGCCAAAGGCCCTGGCTTCAAACAGCAAACCATCCCGACCACTGTGCTAACTCCCGGGTACAATTCTGAGCTCAGTTCTGGCTTGGAGCAGACTAGGGATGGTGATGGGACCTTGCTCTTGTAAAGCTTATCGTCTGGGTTGTGTGGGGGAAGGGAATGGCAGGGAGAGCCAACTTCCCAGGACTGTGTGCGGCCTGAGGAGCCTTACCCTATCCTCCAGCCTGATCAGTACCCTTAGGGCTTTAGAATCAGGCCATCAAACTAGGAAAAGCCAAAGATGCTGAGCAGCTCCTGCAGAAGGGACCTGGAAGAGTCACACCTGGGGGTGTTATGGGTCTGAGGAGGCAGGGCTGGCATGTGGCTGAGACAAGGAAAGCTTTATTAATTTCTTTGCTCACTTTGAAAGACACCCTGCCCCAACTCCATGTTGAAAATCAATGCTTCTCAGAGTAAATTTACCATTTGCATTTAGATTTTCTCAAGCCATGGAGAGGCAAGTTACCTCTAGGTCGAGTTACCTCTGGATCAAGGGGTGTGCTGTTTCTGGACCTTTGTGATACTCTGGAGCGCCTGCTCAGGGATGCTCTGTGCTATTGCCTCCTTCCTCACTCTGCTGCGCTCCCTGAGGTCTGCACATGAAAATTAATCTTTTTGTGCCAAAGTTCAGGCCCTCCCGCCCCACCTTGACCACAGTGAGGCTGACTGCGGGTTCATTCAACAAATAAGTATTGAGATCCATTCTGTGGGGCTGTGGGGACACAAGGAGGAATAATTTGCTGACAGTGCCCTGGAGAAACCCTAATTCTAGATAAGACATCCCAGCACTCCCACCCCAGTATGTGAGTTTGCAGCGGGAGTGCTGAGAAGGCTGGTAGCATTTCCTTGATTGTGGAGGAAATTCGATTCCTGAAAACCCACTCACAAAGCTCACTTTGCCATCCAGCTCTTTTTCCAAGGCCAGGCCGAGCAGGGAGGCACGACTCCTGCGAGCTCGGTCCTCCCCGCGCAGGGGGCGCTGTGGGACGGCGGGAGCCGGCCCGGCTAGCCGCCGCCTCCTGCGCCCGTGGCCAGTGAGACCGGAAGCGGCGGCCGGCGGGGGCGGGTCGGGTAGCGGCCGGTTTCTGTGTCCCGGCCTCGCCGCGCCCCTGTCAAGAGCCATGCTCGGCAGGTCCGGGTACCGGGCGCTGCCCCTGGGGGACTTTGACCGTTTCCAGCAGTCGAGCTTCGGCTTCCTGGGCTCGCAGAAGGGCTGCTTGTCCCCGGAGCAGGGCGGCGTGGGGTCGGGGGCCGGTGAGTGGCCGCCCAGCACAGCGGACCCGGGGCGGGGACCGGCTGGTACCCTCAGGAGTCAGCTGGTCTGGCGCCCTCGCATCCTAAGAGGAGGCACCGAGAGTGGCTACGATGTAGAGAAGGGCCTGGACCCGGCGTTGGGATGCTAGCGCTCATCCGCCCTCCCTAGGGCTACTGGGCTCCTGGCCCGGAGCTCTCTCGTCTTCTAACAGGCCTCATCCCCTCATTTCTCCTCTCGGCTCGTAACAGCCCTTTAAGCCTGGGAAGGGATTTCAGATTCCCATTTTGAAGGTTTATTTATTTGAGAGAGAGGGAGGGAGGGTGGGTGGAGGGACAGAGGGAGAGAATCTCAAGCAGATGGGGCCAGATTTCAGGGAGTGAAATCACAACCTGAGCAGAAACCTACAGTCGGCCGATTCACCGATTGGGCCATGCAGGAGACCCCTCAAATTCTCATTTTGACCAGAAAGAACCCAGAGTCTAGGCATGGGAGGTCACCACCTCTCTAAGGGCGCTTGGCCACAGAGAAATGGCAGAATCTTCATCCTAGGAGTACTTCTAGGTGCCTGAAGCTTAAGCATCTGCCTGTTTCCTGGTGGATATGGCCAGGCCCTCAGCTGCCTGTTTTGTCAGCTTTGGTCATCTCTTGCTTCAGAGCCTTGAGGAATTCCCTTGGCCCCCCGTGCCAGATCCCACATGCCTCAGTCTGACAAGCAACCTCTGGAGGATTTGGTCTCTCCTGACCTTCCTGTAATGACAGCTGACCCTCTCCAAGGCTTCCTTTCCTGCAGGGGCCACAGGGGTCAGAGCCAGACAGGAAATGTCCTGAGGCTTGGAGAGCCCAGAGGGCATGGAGTTCCTGGGAGGACCGAGCAAAAACTCCTGTCTGCTTCCTCCCCAGGCTTGGGAGGGGAAAGAGAGCAGAGGATGATAACCATGCTAGATTCTGGGGCTTTCTAAGCTCCACTTTCATCCTGGGCTCTTGGTTCTCCAGGGGCCAGGACCTCTGTCTCAGATGAGCCTCATCTTCCTAGTTCCCATCTCCTACCCCAAGCCACTTCAAGTTTTACTTGAATTTGATAGTCCTTAGGGCATTTAAAGGGGGGGTGAGTTGTGAGCTAGGGAAGAACATCTTCGCCCTCACTGGTTCCTATTGAGCCATTAATGCTCTATCACTTTAGGCTAAGGCATTATCTCCAAAAGGATGCCCTGAAAGCACACTTCTGGGGGTGATGGTAGAGGAGGAATGTGTTCTGCCACCAGCGTTCAGTTCAACCCAGCACAGTGTTTACCGATGCCCGGGTGCTCCTGGCTCTCATACCTGGGAGGCACTATATATCAGACAAGAGAATTGATCCAGATACCCGGCAAGGAGAGCATCACATGGATTGGCTTCTCAAATCTAATGGCTGTTGCCTAGCAGAGACTTGGCCCTGTGGAGGTGGGACTTGAGGCAGATTAGTTTTGATGTGCGGGAGGAGGGAACATGCTTAACTAGCATCTGGCTAAAGACAGGAATTAGGTAAGGAGGCAACAGAGAGCCCTCAGAGGACGAGCCGCCGAAGGGGGAGGTGGGCAAAAGGTGCACTTGACCAACTTCACTCAGCTTGCTGCTGTCCTGCCAGAACCAGTTGGCGTTCCTTGACTGCCTCTGCTCTCTTGTCCCCAGATGCACCTCAGAGCTGGCCCTCCTACTTCTGCCACAGCCTCATCAGTTTCCTGGGGTTCTTGCTGCTGCTGATCACCTTTCCCATTTCTGGCTGGTTCGCCTTGAAGGTAAGGCTGGCTGGGTCAGACTCCAGGGGGATTGGGCTCCACTCTCCATCCTCTCTCCCCTTCCCCTAAATATCACATTATCACACCCAATGAAATGGGCCGGTCGAGGATTGTTCATTCATATCTTTTAGATGAGGAAACAGGCTCAGTTTTCCCCAAAGTCATACTGGGAGCCAGTGAGTGGTAAACAAGCCTTCCCAAACTCCCAAGTCCTGGGGTCTGGACACTGCCTTTAAGTGCACACAGATTTCTTTGCCACACCTTCCTTTCTTTGGGTTAGGCTAAAATTTGAACTGAAAACTACTCCACTTGGCCCAGCAGGTAATGAGTAATAGGAATTCAGGCCTGGTTTTTAGCAAGGGCTGGTGCAGAGGGGAAAGCCATGAGCTATACTTAAGGATCATATCTGAGAGCTGCAGTGAAGGTGAAAGCCCAGGCAGGCCTTGCCCTTTGTGTTGCCCTCGGCAACAGTCAACTTTCTAGAAAGCCTTTGGGTTTGGTGTGGTCTAGAAGGAGGTCTTTAGAAGGTACTAAATCCTAGTCCTAAAAGTGCCACTGAAACAAATACTGTGTGACCTTGGGCAAGTCACCCTCTCTGGGCCTTCATTTCTCAATTTGGACCTATTTACTTCTAAAGTTGGCAAAGTCCTTTGCTTGGGGTTGGAACTGCATTCAGAACTGCATTCAGTTCTTGCCTGTTTCACTCAGGGGCTGTGTGATTTTTGAGCACATCATTTAACCTCTCAGAGCCTTGGTTTTCTCTTCTAAAAAGGTCTAAGGATAGCTGACACTGACCAAGGCAAAGGAGAGAGAGGGGTGGGGGGTACCTGAGCAGACGCCATTGTCAGCCTAGGCCCAGTACTTTACCCCTTTCCCTTACCCTCATGAACAGATTGTGCCCACCTATGAGCGGATGATTGTGTTTCGACTGGGCCGGATCCGCACCCCTCAAGGGCCTGGCATGGTTCTACTCTTGCCCTTCATTGACTCCTTTCAGCGGGTGGATTTGAGGACACGAGCTTTCAGTGTCCCTCCCTGCAAGGTGAGGAACTTTTCAGCTCCCCAGACAGAGGGAGTGGGGGCTTGTGCAGAGTGATTGTGGGAGCCAGTACCTTGGTGTATGAGTAGCCCTCAGGGGTAGGGTGGCAGAAGAAACCAGAAAGTTGAGGATGGAGGCTGGTAGGACATCCTTGTTCAATGTACCTAATGACATGCACTTGGGGACATGATTTTCCCCTTGAGGAGCTAGGTACCAGGAGGGTGGGTCAAGCTAGGTGGTCTTGGTGGGCCTGACCTCCCTACAGCACCAGCCCCTTGAGTGTCTCCTCTTTCACGACCTTCCCCAACAGTTGGCCTCTAAGGATGGGGCTGTGCTGTCCGTGGGGGCCGATGTCCAGTTCCGCATCTGGGATCCGGTACTGTCTGTGATGACTGTGAAGGACCTGAACATGGCCACGCGCATGACGGCCCAGAACGCCATGACCAAGGCCCTGCTCAAGAGGCCTCTGCGGGAGATCCAGATGGAGAAGCTCAAGATCAGCGACCAGCTCCTGGTAGGCAGCTCCTCACATGGTAGAGGTCAGTGGTGGGTCCTGGGCTTGGCTCTGCCTGCCAGGGCACTTTGAGCAAAGCACCAGATTGCTCTGGGCCTCAGTTTACCATATGTTCCAACCTTGGAGGAGGCTGCGGTCTGGGTGGGACTGAGGAACAGAAGATGGGTGCAGCCCATAGTGGTCTTGGGCAAGCCTGTCTTGGAGAGGCACAGGGGCCCTGAGAGAGGAGTGGCCTGACCTAGATTCTGGGGCCCTGCCTAACTGCTGGGGTTTCACCCTTCACTGCTCTGCAGGCGTTGCCATGACAACACTGGGCCTCACAGGCAGGCGGGTGGGGTGAAAGGAGCAGGGGCCCTCCTGGCACAGTCACCTTCTGGGGAACTCCGTGCTCCACAGGGCAGCATGTGCATCTTGGGGGCTTTGTGTTCCTTGTTTAGAACAGAACAAAGTGACACCAGGCATTTAGACCTTTTTCCTGCCTCTCCATGTGTGAGTAATTACACCAGAATTCCCCTTGCATCCCTTCTGTGACAGGATAGGGTGGAAATGTGGCATGTGTCACCTGAGGCAGCCTGTCCCCTGCTCCCCATGCTCCCCTTGGGCTTTCTCCCGTGTCCTGGTGGACCTGAGTGAGGTTTCCCCTTAGTCCCCTTGGCTTTGTTTTCCCCTGGGGACCTGGGGTTCGAGGACGGGCGGGGTGGGATAATGCCAGTGCCGGAGGTCCCAGTCCCCTCCGGAAGTGAACCAACCCCGTGGGGGAAACTGCTGAGGAGAGGGTAGTGTGCTCGTGACGCTCGCTCTCACGTGCTGAGCGTTTTAGAGTTTACAAGTCCTTTCGCTGCCCACGTGTATCCGCTTTACATTTTGCTGTGAGAGGGCTGATATTATTTTATTTTGGAGGGAGGAAACTGAGGGCTCAGAAGTTATTTGTCACCCCCCAAGAACCATGGTCAAGGGCAGAGCTGACCCAGAGGCAGATCACCTGCCCTCCCACCCCCCCACCCCTCAATCCAGCACTCCATCTTCTACAATTGATAACAAATTGGTAACAACTTTTATTTATGAAACTACATTCCATTTTAGTGTACTTTTCAGAGGAGAAAACTGATCTCAGCCTTATTGCTGTCAGGGGCTGGTCAGGGAAGAAACCAGAACACCAGGCATGTTGTGCAACAGAACTGAGAGAGGCAGTTTGGGGGAAGTCGGTCCCACACCAGGATGTTAGTCACTTAGGGCCTGTTGCCCAGATGGAATTGGCTCCTGGTAGAGTGGGGTCATTGCCTATGGTTACAACGAAGTCTCGGGAATGCCAGCCTGCCTCCCAGGAGCCAGGGGTCAGGCGTACATTTCTCATTCTCACTCCCTTTTCTGCCTTCGCTTCCCTGGAGGGACACACACTCCGCACTCTCCCTTGCTGGACCCTCCTTAGCTGCTTACTCTTCCCCCAGGCCTATTGCTTCCGTTCACTGCTCACCCCACACCACGTCCCCCTGCTGCAGCCTGGCCTCTTCCTCCGTGGGGGGGGGGCGGGGGCGGGGCAAACACTCCAGGACAGGAACCGTTTCAGCTCCTCCAGCGTCACCCCTTCAACCTCCTCGCCATCTGCGCTCTTTCCCCTGCCTCACTGCAAGCGGTGCTTCCTCTGAGGCTCCTCCCTGCGCTCCCTGCGTGGGCAGTGCTCTGGGTTCGGGGCTCAGCTCTTGCTCTGTTAGTCCTCCTTCCGCTCCTTCCTGTGTGGGCGTGGGCGCAGGCTCTCTCTGCACCCCCAGCCCCTGACAGCTCTCCCCCACCTCTCCCCGCCTCTCCCTGGCCCTGCCCACCCCTGTCCTCAGTCTAGGCTTCCTCCAGACTCCTAAGACAGCAGCATGACCTCCCTCCTGCTAGCTCCCCGCTCTTCTCAGTCCTATGCTTGCTTCACCTAGTGGGAGCCTCTGACTCTGTGCACCCTCCTCCCCCTCCCTCTCTCGGATCCTCTGCTTCCCTTGGCTTCCGTTATTCCACTCCGGCTTTTCCTCCTTCCAGATCACTCCTGGTTACTCCTTGCTCTCCTGCCCTTCAGTTTCCAAGTTTCCATCAATGGCCTCTTTTTGCCTGGGACCGCCCAGGAGGGCTCATCCGGCCAGGCTTCGTGCTGCCTCTGGACACTGATTGTTTACAACCCTCTGCTCCAGTCCCACTCCTGTGACCTCGACCCCATTTATCCAGCCGCCTGGTGGACAGTTGCTGTTGCATAGACACCTTGAGCTGATTATGTTAAAAAAAAAAAAGTCCTCTTCCCTCCCCTAGCCACCCCCAAGTGTGTGTGTCCCTGTGTGCTCACGATCTGTGCAGGAGCCCACACCAGAAAGCCAGCCCCTCTCCGCTTTCCGTCACTGCACAGCCAGGCGGCCACCACACTTACTGCTTGTTTCCCTGGCGTCTTGCTGTAGCTTAATAGAGTTGACAGAGTTGTGCTCTGTCCTCTTCTTGTCTTGGCCTCACAGCCACCTCTCTCTCTGACACCAGACCTGCCTCATTTCTGCTTGCACTTTGAAACAATGGCCCACGTGGTCTCCATGTCTCCACCCTCAGCCCTCTTCAATCCAGTGTCCACAGAGCAGCCAGGAGGATCTTCCTAACAATCAAGTCTGCTGTCACCCCCCTGTTAAACTCCTCTCCGAGGCTCCTCATGTGTCAATAAATCCGAGTGAGCTGGAGCCACCCACATCTGAGCCCTCAGCTGTCTCCAGTCTCCCAGCCTACACCTGAGGGTCTAGCTAAATGGAACCGTGGTTACTCACACTTCCCCAGACATTCCAGGTTCTGTCTGGGCTTTTGTACATGCTGTTTCCATTGACTGAAAAAGTCCTTGTGGGGTTCCCGGACCCAATTCCAGTGTGCGAAAGGGGGGTTTCCACACACACAACACCACGCAATTTTTGGACACCAGTAGGGTATCCCGAGAATTCAAGTCAATTCTGACACTGTCTACTCAGAGACAGCATCAGATCCCATGGGTTAAGGTCTCAGTCCCACAAGACTGCTCCCCATTCCTTACTAAAGATGTCAGTCACAAGCCCCAGGCTGTTACCTATGCTTCTGACCAACCAGCTCCAGATTGGGGGTTCCAGCAACTTCCCTGGGTTTTTTTTTTTGCTAGAGCAGCTCACAGAACTCTGGGAAACCCTTATGCTTACCAGTTTACTAAAGGATATGATAAAAGGTAAGAATCAACAGCCAGACAAAGAGACACACAGGGCGAGGTCGGGGGAAGGGGCACAGAGCTTCCATGCACTCCCCAGGCACCCCTCTCTCTGGCATTCACTGGTCTGGAAGCTCTGGAACCCAGTCCTTCTAGGAATTTTATGGAGGCTTCTTTGCATACTGAGGATCAAGTCATTGGTCATTGTTTGGGGTGGGACTGAAAGTTCCAGTTCTCCAGTCACATAGTTGGTCCTTCTGGCAGCCAGCCCCCACCCTTGAGTGGGGTCCAAAAATCACCTTTCTTACCGTCACAAAAGACCCCTTTATCATTCTCCTCACAAGCAATTCCAAGGGTCGGAGGAGCTATGAGTCAGGAACAAAGACAAATATATAGAAGTATATTTTATCAGTTAAATGATCAAATGCATATTTCTTTTTTTTTTTTTATAAAGATTTTATTTATTTATTTGACAAAGAGCGAGAGAGGGAATATAAGCAGGGGGAGTGCGAGAGGGAGAAGCAGGCTTCCCGCCGAGCAGGGAGCCCGATGTGGGGCTCGATGTGGGGCTCGATGTGGGGCTCAATGCAGGGCTCGATCCCAGGACCCTGGGATCATGACCTGAGCCGAAGGCAGACGCTTAACGGCTGAGCTACCCAGGCGCCCCCAAATGCCTAGTTCTTATAAATCACAGCACTGCAGTCTTCCTTCTTGCTCTACTCTTTGGCTGGGATGACTCCACTCCTCCTGGTGTCATTGCCCACTCCCTGGACCTCCAGGGGTCAGGCCTGGTCGTAGTTGCTCACGCCAGCTGCCAGGTTGTATATTGTCCTCTGCACTCCCCAGGAGGGAGCCTGGCCCAGGAGGGGGGCTGTGGCACCTCCAGCCCGAAGAAGGTGCTCCCAGAATGGCTTTTTGATTTAATTCCATTTCTCGGCACATTGTTTGCCAGCTGGAAATCAATGATGTGACCAGGGCGTGGGGGCTGGAGGTGGACCGAGTGGAGCTGGCAGTGGAGGCCGTGCTCCAGCCCCCCCACGACAGCCCAACGGGGCCCAGCTTGGACAGCACCCTCCAGCAGCTGGCCCTCCGCTTCCTGGGAGGAGGCCTGTCCTCCGTGGCAGGAGGTGCTTCAGCCCCAGGGTCAGGTGAGGAGCCCCGGGAAGAAGGGGAGGTGCTCCCGGGGTGCTTGGCTCCATGTCCTGCGCATGCTCAGCTTTGCTCCCCGTTACCTTAGCTGAGCGCCTTTGAGCAGTGCACACCTGCCCAGCTGCTCAGGCCTCCCCCACTGCTAGAGCCGACGGGAGCTGAGGCCGTGAAAAGAGCCCAGCTGTCTGAATGCGGAGAGGCCTTTGGGAGCCTCCGTGGGAGGAAGAGACAGCACCCAGAGTGTGAAAGCTGAAGGGCTGCTGCTTAGCCGAGGAGGAAGTCGAACTCAGGCCTGAAGGGTGTATAAGAGGGAGCTGCCATGAGACGTGCAGAGGTCACAGTGAGCCTGACCTTGGCAGCACACTGACTTTCTTCTCTCTGCTTCCTTCCCCAACTCTGTTGGCCACCCCCAGCAGACACCTTGGAGATGGTGAGCGAAGCTGAACAGCCTGCCCCTCACGTTGGTGCTGGGCCCAGCCCAAAGCAGCCCGTGGCCGAGGGCCTGCTGACTGCCCTGCAGCCCTTCCTGTCGGAGGCCCTGGTCAGCCAGGTCGGGGCCTGCTACCAGTTCAATGTCATCCTGCCCAGTGGTACCCAGAGCATCTACTTCCTCGACCTCACTACAGGTGCCCCTGCCTTCCCTGCCCCCGCCTTCCCAGCCAGGTCGCTTGTAGCCAACCCCACCACCCCTGTGGTCCTTTTTAAAACTGCTCTCTGCTCCTGCAACAGTTTAGAGGGAACCCGTAGCAGTCAGGGGCTCAGACAGCATGTGCAGACAATGACAATCCGGGCCTTTGTCTCCCTGCCCTGTCCCCTTGAGCAGGACGACTCCGACGGCTGAGCTCCCTACAGCCAGAGTCCCGCACACAGGGCAGGCCTACTGCATCCAGGCTCTGTGCTGAGCACATGCAGTGCTCACCTACTTCTCACTGCGAGTCTCTGATTCAGGGATGATCGTCCTCCCCATTTCACCAGTTTGGAAACTGAGGCCTGGAGTGGTCACACAGCCAATAAGACTTGAACTCAGGGAAATAGAACCTGAACACTTAACTATTACTTTCCACTCCTCCTAGTGGGACATGCTAACCGGATCTTCCCCCTGCTGCGTAGCCATCCCCCCTACTAATGCTCAATTTTTCTTTCCCTCCACAGGGCACGGGAGGGTAGGACACGGGGTGCCTGACGGCATCCCGGATGTGGTGGTGGAGATGGCGGAAGCGGACCTGCGGGCCCTTCTGTGCAGGGAGCTGCGGCCCCTGGGGGCCTACATGAGTGGGCGGCTAAAGGTGAAGGGTGACCTGGCCATGGCCATGAAGCTGGAGGCTGTCCTCAGGGCCCTGAAGTAGCAGCTTTGGCTGACTGTCCATAGCCCAGCCCCAAGTCTGGCATCAAGCCAGGGGGGCATCTTGGAGGAGGAGGCACTGGTGCCACACCTTGGATTGTTGAGGCCCTGAGAAGTTCGAGGCTCAGCCAGGAGCCAATGAATAGAGGCTGGGCAGACACCAGAGGCTGGGAGACACTGAGTCAGGCCACCCGGCCCTTCTCACCTAGAGTGCTTCTCTGGACAAGCCTTTGCCCATCCTGGTCCCTGGCTGACTGCCCCGCCCTGAGCCGGGGACACAGAGTGATGACAAGAGGGCCAGGCCTGCTCCACTCTGCTGGCTAACTGACTGGAGAGGCAGGGCCCGCAGAAACAGCCTGACCGCAGCGGGTTTGGTCCCAGCGTGAGGGAGCCAAGCATGTGGCTCAGGTCCCAGCTCAAACGGGGATCAGAGAGGGTGAGTGGGGGAGAAGGAAGGCAGCCACCAAGGAGAGTCACTGCAGGGCAGGGATTCGGGGATCGAGTTGGGCCTGCCTTCCTGGTTGTCGTCTAGGCCCAAGTCAGTGTGCAGGGGGGATGGAAGAGTGTGGGGCCTTCTCCACCTCTGGCCCTGCTCCTGAAGATGTCTTTGACTCATCTACCAGCTCCGTCCTGCATGCCTGACGGGCTGGGGCCCAGGGCAGCATGTAGGAGAGCCCTGTTCCTGTGCTTTTTACCAGAGGTTTGCAAACCACCAATAAATGTGCTGTTTACAATGTATTGAAGAGAAGTGGGGGCACGGGGGTGGGTTGGGGGGTTCCCGAGGCCATGCCCTTACTGCCACCGGGCAAGGATGAGGGCTGGGAGGCTGACACACCCTTAATATATGCATGTGAATCACCCACAGTTCCCCTTCCTGCCAAGGGTTTCAGAGACCCTGGGGCAGGTGTGGGCTCTTCTGTTCCTCTTTGGGTAAAAGTTCGCCAGGAAAGAGAGGGTATGGGTGTGTCCGGGCTGGTCCTGCAGACACCCTCCCAAAGGGCAGGGTGGGGGGTCTGATCACGTTCAGCAGAGGAATCAGGGCTGCTGTCAGCTCCCTGTCTTCCCCCTGGGGTCCCTGTTTCTCCCCCTGCAGAGGGGAAGGAAACAGAAGGAACTGGGCCTGGAGGCCCGGCCAGGGGGGCTTCAGCCCTGGGAGCCCGGCCCGGCTTTCTGCTCCAGTGCTCTAGCCCAAATCCCAGGGACCTCAGGGAAGGGGCCTTTTACTTCTTCAGCCCTAAGAAATGAATCTCACTTCCTGGAAAGGCTTGTGAAAAAAGAAACCCACAGAAATTGGGACCTCCCCTTTGCTAAACAGCCTTGTCCTCTGGCACCAGGCTGTTCCCCTTGGGGCTTCTCCAGGCCCCCTGGCACCAGGCCCCATCTAGTTTTCCCCTTTGTTCTTGCCAGTGCTTGCCTTTTCCCTCCTCTGGTAAGTCCTCTTAGTGTGGACTGTGTGGCCTTGGGGTTCAGGTTTCAGCTCCAGGGCCCCCACCTTGGAGGGTCAGAGCCCCGGCCAGCTGCCCCCACCAGCTCTGCCCTCAGCCAGAGGCTCCCTTCCCTGCAGTCCCTCCCGCCCCCACCAGCCACTCTCCCCCACCACCCTCAAGGCCTAGTAGGGCACGGTCCTCCGCTCTCCACTGAGCCCCCTTCTACGTTGGGGCTGTCGCCATTCCCCACTGCCTGTGTCACCGTTCCTTGCATCAGTGCCTGTCTTCCCTGCCAGACTGTGAGCTTCGTATATGAGCTGTTCCTTCCTCCACGGCGGCACGCAGTGTATCAGGAGTTTATGGGAAAGCCCCACATCTTCCTCATGAAAGCTTAGAAGAAATCGAAACTCAGATTATTTTTGTGGGCATGGGAAGATCGACAAAACATTTACAGGAAACTGAATCTTCTGAATGTCTATATAGGTGGGGAGTAAGGCCTACCACTAATTCCCGGTGTTGAGGGCCACTCATTCCTTGGTGAGGCCAGCACTCCAGGAAAGGGAGCCCACAGGTTCAAGGGCCCCTGGGCTTTGAGGACTGAGAAGGCCTCGGAGTCTGCTGGGGAAGGCAAGGGGCACTTAACAGCGGTAGGGAGGGAGGGAGAGGGTGTCAATCGTAGGAGGCTTCCCTGAGGAGGTGATGCCCTTATGCCCTTGCAGCCACAGGGCAGGGTGATGAGAGAAGAAAAGAGACGGGGCAAAGCATGCCACAGAGGGGACAGCCCCTCTGTCCCCTCTGCGAGGGGGGGGAACACAGCTGGAAGAGGCAGCTGAGCGCCTCTGATTTCAGGAACTGGAACCTGAAGTATGGGGGTGTGCACGTGGATTTGGGGGAGAGGGGATAGTGTAACGCTGGACCATGTGCGTGCCTGCACTGAACTAGGCTTGCTGTATATTGTTTTTTCCCTTGAGACAACCTTATGAATAATAAGTAAAATGCTCACATTGACATGTGTAATGTATTACTTTGATGTTATTTAAAAAATAAGTAAATTTTGAATAGCTAGTACAGTCACGTCCTTCAAATTTTTTTTAAAGATTAAAAAGGGATACTATTAAAATTGTCCCTCATACTCCTGACTCATCCACGTATTTCCCACACCTTCCTCCAAACAAGTATCCACTGATACTAGTTTGTTGGTTATTCCAGAAGTTTTTTTTTTATGCATATACAAGAAAATCCAAATATATATCCTCTGGACTTTTTAAAATACAAATGGAAACAGCAAATATAATTTTGCTTTATTCACATTACACCTTGAGGATCTTTTCCCACTGCGTTTTGTAGTTACATAGGCTTCTGTTCAGATGTATCATTATTTATTTATTTATTTTTAAAAGATTTTATTTACTTATTTGAGAGAGAGAGAATGAGAAATAGCATGAGAGGGAAGAGGGTCAGAGGGAGAAGCAGACTTCCTGCTGAGCGGGGAGCCCGATGCGGGACTTGATCCCGGGACTCCAGGATCATGACCTGAGCCGAAGGTAGTCGCTTAACCACCTGAGCCACCCAGGTGCCCCAGATGTATCATAATTTATTTAACCTGTCTGCATTGATGGACATTTAGATTATTTGGCGGTTTTTGCTATTTCAAACAATGCTGTAGTAATAACTTTAACATACACTACTTTGCCTGTGGTTGAGCTTACCTGTAGATTAAAATTCCAGAAGAGAAATGGCTAGGTTAAAGCATTTGTAATTTAACAAATACTGCCCAAATCCCCTCTTTAAGGGGTTATTCCAATTTACACTCCCATCATTAGTGATTAAGAGTGTGCTTTTCCTCACAGCCATGCCAACACAGGGTGTTATTAAACTTTTGCATTTTTTGACAGTCTGGTAAGCGAAAAATTGCATCTCAGTGTAGGGTTTTTACTGTTATTGTCCAATTGTTTATTGCTCTTTAACTTGGATTTTCAAAGCACAGGGTTTTTGCTGTCTTCCTCCAGCATTTACTTTTTTTTTTTTTACTTTTTACTTTTTTTCTCATATGACAATGAAATGCACTCATTTTAAATGTAGTGCTTGATGTGTTTTGACAAACGTGAACACCGTGTAACCATCAGCCAACACAATCAAGATACAGAACATTTCCATCAACTCACAAAGTTCCCCCATGTCCCTTCCCTGGCCCCAGGCCACCACTGATCTGCTCTTCCATTGCTATGGATTAAATTTCACTTTTCTAGAACTTCATAACAAATGAAACCACACAGTATGTATCCTCCTGTGTCTAGCTTCTTCCTCTCCTTCTAGTGTTTCTGAGAGCCATCAATGTTATCATGTCCGTCTGTAGTTTGGGTGTTTTTACTGCCTGCGCATCCTAGTGTATGGATGGCTGCACAATTTACTTATTCATTTGTACTTTCCAATTTCTGATTATCAAATAAAGCTCCTTTGAACATCTATATACAAGCCTTTGTGGGGACATATATTTCATTTGGGTAAACACTTAGGAGTAGAATTTCTGGGTCAAGAAACTGCCAAACCAGTTCCAGAGTGATTATGCCAGCACTTGGTGTTGGCAGTCTTTTTAAGGTGAGCCATTCTGGTGGGTATGACTGATGATGTTGAGCCTCTTTTTATATGCTGACTGGGCATGTGTCTTCTCTTGGTATCTTTATTGGCATCCCATTATTGTGTGAAGAAACACATAAAAAAATCACAATCGTGATATTGAGTCTACGGATCCATGACCATGGCCTGTTTTTAAGTCTATTTTTGTGTTTCAGAAGTTTTATAATGTTCTTCATATTGGTTTTGAACATTTCTTAAGTTTATTCCAAAGTACGTTATCTTTTCTGACACTGCTATAAATAAGGTCTTTCCTTCCATTATAATATCTGATGAGGATGCAATTTACAGCTCTGTGGGAATTTTGTACCTCACTAACTTACTGTATTTTTCTTTAGAGTACTTCACCTTCAGTACACAGTCATTTGCAATTGTGAAACTTCATCTCCTCCTATCAAGGTTTTAAGATGCTTTCTCTTGTCTAATTGCATTGGCTGGCATGGAGGTGGGCACTTTGAAGAAGGAAGTGAGAGTTAAGAACCATTAGGAAGGGAGAAAGAGGTAGGGGTGGGGAGGGAGAGAGGGAATGGGACCTGAGCCTGATGGAGGGATTAGCTGTGGACAGATGGAGTGGCCCCTTACCCCAGAGAAAGAAGGAGGAAATAAGGATGGGGTAGATATCTGGGTGAAGGTAAAAAATCTGTAGCCCACCCCCCCGCCCGGGGCCCTATCCAACACATGGGTAAGAGTGGTTGGTGGGAAGATTTCAGTCATTGAGTCACTCACTCAAGGCCCTGGTTTAGCCCCCGGTGGGGCCCCCAAAACCTTGCAATGAGAGTGATGAGGAGGTGGCCTTGGGGAGATTTGTGTACGGGAGGGATGGGAGCTGAGAGGAGAACACTTCTGGCTCTTCCTGGTGAGTGGTTTTTGGAAGGGAAGAGAGGGCAAGGAAGGGAAGGGGGAAGGGAGGGGAGAGGGGAGGAGGCAGAGGATAAAAGGGGCTCACCGACCACGGTCCTCCTCTATTGGGAGCCTCTTCCCCACACTGGGACTCTGACTTGCCTTCACTGACTTTTCACTGACTTTCCTAGAGCCTGGCAAAGTGTCTGCCATATAATAGTCACCAGCAACTGTTTTTTTTTTTTTTTAATTTTATTTATTTGAGAGAGAGAGAA